TGGAAGGGACCTCAGGAGGTCATCTAGTCCAACCCCCTGCTTGAAGCAGGACCAATCCCCAATTTTTGCCCCAGATCCCTAAATGGCCCCCTCAAGGATTGAACTCACAACCCTGAGTTTAGCAGGCCAATGCTCAAACCACTGAGCTATCCCTCCCCCCAAAACAGCTGTCACACAGAATGGCCCCCTCAAGGATTGAACTCAAACCCCTGGGTTAAGCAGGCCAATGCTCAACCCACTAAGCTCTCCCTCCCTCCTTTTAGTTGTAAATCCACAGTCCAGAAAATTAGAGCAGGAAAAGAGGGACACAGAGATGTCGCAGGTATCTCTTTATGTCCTCTGCCATGTGCAAAAGGTTGCCAACCCTCCAGGCTTGTCCTGGAGTCTCCAGGAATTAAAGATTAATATTCAATTAAATATTATGTCATGTAATGAAACCTCCAGAATACATCCAATCAGAATTGGCAACCCTACATGTGCATGGAAATTTACTGTCCCAAACAAAGCCCAAAGCCCCTGTCTGTGGAAAGTTACTGGCCAAGATGGAGTCCAGGGTCACATGAGCATATCACATGCCCCTACATCTGGGCAGGCTGAGTTTCTTCAATGGCCCATAGTTAGAGTGGAGTGTCCTTGACAGGCCATCAGCACATAGCTGTCGAGCACTAATGTAAATTCTATCTGGGGGTGTCACCTGGGAATACGACAAAGGTTTAAGATACAAGTACGTAACGAGTATTCAGATACAAAGATGATACATTCATATAAACAGGATAATTATATGTAGCAAATCATAACTTTCCCATTGATGCCTTACATGACATACTTTGTACAAGATTTATTGCAATGTGTAACAGTGGTTACAGCAATGACACAAATGGTCATCTTTCTTATACATGGCATCACAGGCACCATACGTCCTGCAAACTGAATGTGCCCAAAATGCATATCAGAAACTGATATGTCACAATAGGGTTGTGGTTCACCTCAATGACTAAGCGCACGTCCTTTATCCCAGATTCTGAGAGCACTGCAAATGGTACATAGGTTTTGAAGTTTCATTGTCTGTCAAATAGCATTTCACTTAATTTTTCACATCGTTAGCACATTTGCTATAAAACTTTATACTAGATACGTACAGATAAATACCCTTCCCTGAGTAAGTTAGGCAGAAACTCTGCTTGCTTAATACAGCCCTTGATTTTTAGTAACAAAATGGAAACACTAAAATAAATAATTGCCAGGGCATGGCTGCAAGCCAGACACTGCACTATCTCAAGAGGATTCCCTGGTACAATCATTGTTATTTCAAGAGACTAAAAAATTAGGTAATATTTTCTTGTTCTTCTAATTAGACCCAGGGGAAAAAATGAACCAGCAGGACTCCCTCATTCCTTTTTAATATGAGAATATAATGTCTGAAGCTCATTAAAGATGACCTGGTTAGTAATTACGTCTTACCCAAAAACCAGGATTTTATTTCTCTGGAACCTATGTAATTTCATGTTCATTAACAAGCCTTTTCTTGCTTTCTGGTTATTTGGGACCATTATTTTACAATATATTTCCCCATTTCCTTCTCCCTCCTCCATTAGGTGTTTAAGTGCAAAAAATACACATTCATTAAGTGCGAAAATATACATTGTGATACTGGTGTAACTCCCCTCCTACTAGGTGACTTCATTCTTGTATGTATTCATAGCCTGGGTCCTTCAGTCAGGATGGTATTGGCCTTGACTGTGATAACGTCTGTTGATAAACAGCAGGATCTGAAGTCATCAATTCATGGTGGTTTTGCATGAGACCTCTCACTTTAATCAAGATGAGCATGCAATGGATGTAACCCAGCCTATAAGAATAGTCTTACGGTGCACAGTGTGGCTTAAACAATATTCTAGGGATTCAGACTTAAGATCATCAGGACAGTGGGGAACCCTCTGGACCTCCTGAAATTAGATCAGACAACGTGAATCTCTTGGTATTTAATGTCTCCACAAGACAGAAGTGAAGGCACCCTCAATATAAATATGTGTAACATGCTTCTTATACTGTATTCTGTTAAATATATGGATTTAAAGAAAAGTATTGAAGGTTAAGAAATAATATAAATGCAACATGGAAGAGGAGCAAACGAAACCTATAAAGACGGACCGTGGAAGCTGGATTTCTGTAAAAACAAACCCAGGCTGAATTCAGGTTGGGTTCCATTTCATCTGAGTCACCACTGAGAAGGGGCAGTAGTAGCTGGATAATGGGTTTTGGTCCATTCGTCATAATTCTTTCTGAATAGTTATCTGGACCTCAGCTGTGCTAGGACTAGACCTTTTCTTGACCACACAATCTCTTGTGCTGACAGGCTTTGAATCACATCTTCCTGCTCTTTGGAAGGGGTGAGTGGATGATAGCCAATAGCTTTTATCTGACAGGGATGGTCAAAAGATTTTTTGTTTGTTTATCTTTCCAGATTGTGGGAAAAGAAACAATTATTCTGTTCAGAAGCAGCAATACCATCCAGTGTGAGAAAATAATCATGTCATGAAGCTGTGACACTGCATTACGACACTGCCGTTGTCACAGGGTGATGCTGTGTTGACAGTACTGCAGCCTCAAAAATAAATCTGGGACTTCTGGGGGACACAAGGCAGGCTTACAAAAGTTGGGTCTGCCTCGGGATTTTGGAGATGGAAGGCAAGCCTCCGCTAACCATTTCAGAATTACATTTTGATATTTGTATATGCATTAGCCAGCAAGTTTTCTCCTTTTCCTTCTTCCCTGTCCCTCTATTCCTTCCCCCCCTCCCTCCGCCCCAACCACACAAGCAATATTCCCAGAAACTCCCAGGCTAGATATGTCATTACAGCAATACGCTTCTTAATAGAATGAGTGCAGTTAGATATCGAGTTCTAGCAGTGTATTAATGAAAGGTTCAAAAAAGAGCAAGCAACATTTAGCCTGCCAGATCAACATGAAATAAATTTGCTTGCAGGAAATTAAAATGCCTGTGCCCTTATATGTGTTCAGATACTCTGTTCGTCACCAGGTGACAATGAAAACAAAAAAAAATCAATGTCTTGAAATTCATTATTTTAAGTAATGCTGACAGAGGGTGAAGAAAATACAGTGCAATTCAAGAGACCAGCAAAAACTGGTTTTTGAAGCAGGAAGCTGAGTTACATTTCTCAGTGACAGAATTAGTCTGGGAAGAAATATGGCAGGAGTGTCAGAAATGTATCCATTTCTTACAGCTATAATTTTCCAGAACAAAATTTTATACATCTTCTGTCTGACACCAAAGCATCTTCATAAAGCAAGTTTAGCTAACCGTGGTAAATTCTGGAGATGCACTACCCTAACACACAATCTTCTCTTGTCACAAAGATGGGGGCCATATTTGGTACAGTGTAAACTCCCAGAGCATGGATGACTTACCTAGTGGGTGGAGCAGGACTTTGCATGGTGGGTGTGGTGGCGGTTCAGAGTAATGGTGAGCACAGACCCAGGAGTCAAGTACCAAGCCGAGGGTCAAGTGGGAGTCAGGGTTGAAGAGCCAAACCAAAGGTCAGAACCAAAGTCAGAATTAGGAATAAGGCAGGTAGGCAAGACTAGACTGGAACTCACAGGAGTCAAGGCTGGAATAAGACTGGAACCAGGCTGAAGCAGGGGGCTGGAGGTAGGACCATGGCTACTGCAAGTATAGGCGTGGTACATGTCGAGCAGCCTGTATGCTACTGCCAATGCAAGGCTGAAGTAGCAGGCTACTTGCTCCCTCGCCCAATCAGGAGGCATCACCCTTTGCAGAGGGTTCATTGGGCCCAAGCTGAGCTTGCTAGGTTGCCTAACAACCAGGCTGGGAGCCATCTGTGCTCCTAACATTCATATGCAACATTTAATCAACCTTTTCTTACACATGTTTAGAAAGTTCGTGTAACTTTTGATGTATGTAAATACAACGACGCTGCCCTAAGTTTGAGAAAATGCTCTCTGGAAATTCTTTGGGGCTGAGAGGTAAAAGACCTGTTGCTTCCCATCCTTCATGAAAGCTCACTAGGGAAGTTGAGAGTGCTTAACACGGGCAAAACAACATATTATTCCCTAACCTCATTCTTGTAAATGGTTGAACCATTTGGCTGAATCTTTCCAAAAATTCAGCCTGAGGCAGATATGAGACATGGGAAATGTGTCCTGAACTGTCAAAGTTTAACAAAGTTATGAGCAACTGAAAACAGAGTTTTATAATGAGAAGTGTCATGCAACCTTCATAATAGGCTTATTATAGTGCTACCAGCCCTGCCTCTAATATATACAAATTGTACAGTGTTCTATCATTTAAAAAGCATAAATTTGGATCAATCTGATTCATAATTAGGTGTTAATGCAGGAAGATGTGCTAACAGAGCGAGGTATGAGCTTCATGCTTTAATTGCATGGAGCAACTGTTAATTGAGAGCTATTTATAAATTTGTTGATCATTATTCATCCCTTGATTTTTTTTTTTTGTTTTTGGTGAGGAGGTGGAGATGAATTTTAGGTATGTTTGTTCCTTGCTGGAAATGTACAGGTCATTTGGCTTAAACCCTGAACTTTTCAAGTAAGAGTTGTTACACATCTTCAAAATCTGTAGGACAGTATCAATTTTTCATAGGTCTTTCTCACATCCCACCAGCTAAGATAAGCATGTAGGGCAATTAAAGAATCCTGAATTTATTTGGGGCATGACTGTTCTGCATTGATCTGTGATTACGTTGGATCATGGATGACATGGCTCGAACAGTCTCATTACACATGGAAGCAACTTGTACTGTAAACAAATGTACATTGCAGTATCAGTGCACTTATAATTTTCCCTTCAAAACAAATGAAAATAGGGGAAATGCTGATTTTCTTTTGTGAAAATATACATTTTACCAAAGATAATGTGAGATGACAGAGAAATTTTGTAAGAACAAGTGAGTCTAGAGGTCAGACTTAAGACATGTAGAAATAAGACAAAGAAAAAGGTGTGAGAGGACGAAGAGAATAAGTTTTTATTTAGTCCAGCCTGATCTTAATGACTACATTGTGCAAAATTAATCCATAATATTAGATTTCTCAGGGAGTGTGCTGGATTCATGTGCCAGCAACAATGAGAGAGTCCAAAGGAGAAAGTTAATTAAGGGGTTATGATAAGAAAACACACACACCTTTTCACCAGTGCTATGGAAACAATTACTGGACACAAGATCATTTTCCATTCAAAGGGTTCTCCGGGCCCCCCACCTCACCCCGCACTGATTGTTCTCTACTACCTGGTGTCCAGTTCCCAGAAGTTTGACAAGGAAACTACCGGAATGAGAGTTTCATGGCTCAGAAACAGCTGGTATATGCCGTATGCCATACTGGCACTTCTATGAAGCTATAACCTGTCTTTCCAGAATCTCAGCTTTCATCATCAAATAAGTCTCAAGGAGAGTTGGTCAGGAATTTTCCATCAAAATGTGGTGGGACGGTTTATAGAAAATGAGTTTTCTGCAAAAACAAAATTTTCTACACATAAATGTCAATTTTGCTGAAAAGTTTAGATTTTTCATTTCAGTTTCAACATTAAGCTACATTCACCTGACCTATTGTGGTGCCTCATGGGAGTTATAGTTTAGGTGCTTCATATACGCATTCTCTTCTATAGGCTTGGCTATATCTTCCAATGTTGCACCATGACCTCCCCTCTAGCTGAGCCAGCATGGTGTATTATGGGAGTCCCATGACCACGGTGCATCATCAGCGATGCAATATGGCTCAGCCCACAGGGAAGAATGGAGTCAAACATCTGTACTTCAACTCCCAGGAGACACCACAGTAGCCAAGGAAGATGCAATTTAAGTTTGGAACGGTCCAAATGGAATGTTTCAATATTTATGAATTGCAATTTTTCAGAACATTTCCTTCAATTAAAAGTTTTGATATTTCAACCTTTCATCCCAATTAAGGACAAAAATAAATGTTACAGTTGAGAAAGAAAACATGAAATGTAACCAGTCCAGACATGAGTCTCCAGAGAGCCCAGAGCAATAACTTGGGGAGGTGTGAACTCAGGTGCCCCAGTGATGATGATTTAAATGTCAATTGTTGCGGTTCAAATACAAGACAGGACAAGCTTTAAGCAAGCAAGCAGGCTGGTCTGCCGACGGGCTGCTCCGCCTGTCAGCTTTTCCACCCTCTCCTTTATTTCTCTCTCCCCCCGCGCATTACATACTCCAACAGATAAAAGGAATACACTGGCTTTGTATAATATTCTTATTTACCAATTTCTATCTACCGCATTCCTTGCTCTCGGGCCTTGAGCCCAGTCCTGGGAGGCTTCCCACGGTTCATGTCATCTGGGCGAGATTCCAAGGTTCATGCCCTTGAGAGGAGCCGTGTGTGCACTGCTCCTACACAACACTCTGGGTGTGCCCTGAATGTTGCCAAGTGCATGAACCTTGCATGAATGCTATATCCCCTCCTTTTTTGTTTATTTGTGCTCGGCCATCTCATGGTAGCCATCAATTTGCTTTTGCAAGCCATTAACTCCCGGACAGACAAGATCATAACTCATGGAGCCTGCCAGGGCGGTTCTCGACAAAGCCTTAACAAAAAGGAAATACATTGCACACAGCAACAGCAAAAAATAAGCTTCAGAAGGTAAAGTGTAATTGGCCAGGCCCCAATTAGCCATGCTAGAGTACTGGAAGAGAGGTTCGCGTAAGCAGCGAGCATCGTCTCATTCCCTATTTCCTCAGGGTGATGACATACTGGAATAAGGCACATACCTAACAATTCTTCAGCTGCTACAAAATCAGATAAACAAAAGTGGGTAACATTTGCTATTGAAGCCAATCTTTCCCATAGGTTATATGTCATTTGGGCCCGTAACAGAGGAGGCGCTCCCGAGACAACCCCTACAGGAAATAGCAGGCACATAAGGCACACAATCAATACAGAATTAGCAGTGATTTGGGTGAGAATGGCCACAAACAGAGTCTCAGGAGTCTGGCTGTTGGTTTGCTGCCAGTCTTCATTGAGCCGCGGCGACCAATGCTTTTACTGCTCCCCATGTCACGGGCTGGCTTGGGACGCTACATCTCCGCCATCTCCGTCCCACCATTGTCGACCCAGGAGGCACTGCGTTCTCCTCCAAGGTCAGCTGAAACTCCGGTATGGGGTTCGACAGCCCCTGGTGCCACGCCATGCTGTTTCAGTGCCGGTCGCACACAGCGGGCCGGAACCCACAACGGTCCTGCAGGGAGAGACACAGCAGCATATCCCCAACCCCAAGTAATTAAAGGTACTGGGCCCAACCATTGTGGGTCGGGCAGCTGACGGTAATAGACACGCGGTCTTTCCAGTACCTCGGACTTATGAAAATGCTGATCCGCGGGGGTCTGCTGATCTGCGTTCAGTGTTAAATTATTTAAAGTAAACAAAAGGACATGCAATTGTTGCTGAATGTCTCCTAAGGTTCGGAGACACAGCTCCCCTTGTTTTAATTGTTTGTCGAGCAAGGTTTTTAGCATGCAATTTGCACGTTCAACCATGGCTTGGCCCGTGGAATTATAAGGGATCCCGTGTTTGAGACAGACGTCCCATTGGGCACAAAAGGTGGAGAAGGCTGTGGAGCAAAAGGCTGGGGCATTATCCGTTTTTATCTGGCTCGGGCGACCCATAACAGCAAAACAGGCTAGCAAATGGTGAATAACTTTGGGAGTGGCTTCCCCACGCTGTGGGGTCGCCCAGAGGAATCCCGAATAGGTATCAATGGAAACATGTAAAAACGAATAGGGGCAGAATTGTGGCACGTGAGTGACATCCATTTGCCACAGCTGATTCGCTGCAGTACCTCTGGGGTTAACGGCATAAGAAAAGGTAGGGGCAGCAGCAGCACAGTGGGGGCAGGAACGAACAATAGAATGTGCATGATCAGCAGGAATGTGAAACTGTCGGGCTAAAACAGAGGCAGACTGATGAGAAAAGGAATGGCTTTCAATGGGGTCAGAAAAGAGGGAATTTACCTGACCATGTAACGTGCGATCGGCGCGCGCGTTGCCTTCAGTAAGTATCCCAGGCAGAGAGGTATGACTGCGAATATGAGCAACAAAATAAGGGAAATTACGAGTGGTGATGAGATACTGTAAGGACAAATACAGGCGAAGAAGGTCAGCATCGACCTGAGGGGTAATAAGGGCAAGGGGTAAATGATCAATTACCTGATAAACATAATGCGTGTCCACAATCAAATTAAAGGGACAATCAGCAAAAAATTGAAAGGCCAAAATAACAGCAGCAAGTTCTGAGCGCTGTGCGGAATGCTGAGGCAGCATAAAACGAGAATGCCAACAAGGGGGGTCACCTAATTGATAGGTGACAACACCTCGACGTGGAGAGCCATCAGTAAAAAGAGTGATAGCTGAAACAATAGGTCGAGAGCAGCTAAGACGATGTACCATTAGTGGCACCTTTTGTGTGATCACCAACCGAGGATCTTTCGGGGGATTATAAGAGATCTCTCCCACATAATCACAAAGAGCAACCTGCCGGGCCAAGGAGGTGTGGTACAAGGAATCAAATTCACTACGTAATAAGGGGAAAACAATGGCAACTAAATCAGTGCCCGTGAGTTGCACTGCACGGTGGCGGACTTTACGAACAAGGTCGGACAGGGCATCTAAATAAGGATAAATGTTCCGAGGAGGAGTGGAAGACAAATATATCCACTCTATGATAGAGACGGCTGTATCTGTACGAGGTACAAACAGAGCAGCAGTAGGCGTATAAGGGGTGGCAAGGAGAACCAACCGCAGGGGACGAACCTCAGTGAGTCTATCCACAAACTGCTGACTCAACACTGCATTGATCTGTCGAATGCAGGCAATGTGCTCCTCAGTGATGGCAATAACTGCGCCTGGTGCCCGAGCTCCACGTAGGAGCTTGAACAACGGCAGCAGCATTGATGTGGGGAGACGGAAGTAGAGTCGAATCCAATTTAAATGGCCCAAAATTTGTTGTAATTGAACGAGGGTTAGGGGTTGGGATAGAACCACTTCTGGGCGAACAGGGGCAGCATAGGTTTGTAAAACCTTATACCCGAGATATTGGTAGGGATAAGAGCGTTGAATTTTTTCTGGTGCCACTAACAGGCCATTTTGACCGAGAATCTGGGACAAATATTCAAGCTGTTATGCCGTGACCTGGGGACCGCTAAGCAAAATATCATCCATATAATGGTAGACCTTTAGTGTGGGGTATCGGGCACGAAAAGGGGCAAGGGCCCGATCCACAAAAAGTTGACACAAGGTTGGACTATTTTGCATTCCCTGGGCACAAGACCTTCCACTGATACCTTTGAGAGGATCACTGATTATTATATTCTGGCACCGTAAACGCGAATTTTTCACGATCTTGTCGGCAAAGGGGGATGGTGAAGAAACAATCTTTTAAATCTAACACACAAAGCTGATCGGTTTGAGGAATTAAATTCGGGCTTGGCAACCCAAACTGCAAGGGGCCCATGGGTTGAATGCGTTTATTTATTTCCCTTAAATCGTGTAACAGCCGCCATGCACCAGATTTTTTCTTAATAACGAACACCGGGGTGTTCCAAGGACTAGTGGAGCTCTCCAAGCGCTGTGCATGCAAATGTTGGTGCACAAGCGAATGAAGTGCTTTCAGCTTTTCTAGGGGGAGGGGCCACTGGTCAATCCATACGGGCTCTAAGGATTGCCATACCAATGGTAATGCGGAGGGCAAGGTGGGTGGGGGAGGGTTTTGGGCCATTATATATTAATATCGAGGGTGGTGTCCAGCTTTACAAGTAAGTCATGGCCCCAAATATTGAGGTGGACAGAGAGCACAAAAGGGCGGATTGTAGCAAGGGCACAGCCTCCTGGTTTAGAGACCGTGACCCAAGACAAACTTTGGCGCCCAGGTTTGCTACCCCCGATCCCCCACAACTCTTTAGAAGGAACTGTTGGCCAACTGACTGGCCACTCCGGATCACGAATCACCGTAACGTCAGCTCCAGTGTCCACCAGCCCTGTAAAAGGAAAATTATTTAAAAGAAGTGTTAACTGAGGTTTCGAGGGGCGGAGTGGCATTGTTAGAGCAACAAGTGGAGAGGACGTGTTGTGAGACGGCAACTGAGACAGCGTTGATCCAAAGCCGCTCCCGCTCTGGGCCCAATCCTCTGCGGCTGGCACCTGATAGGGGACTAAAATCAATTGTGCAATTGACCGTCCACGCGGGAGCGACTGCGGAAAATGGGTCCACACCTGAACCTTAATAACGCCGGTATAATCGGCGTCAATGACCCCTGGGATGACAAAAAAACCCTGTTTCCCAGCATGTGAGCGAGGGAGAACCAACACTCACAGGAGAGGTCCCGTCACCTGTGTAGGTATGGCGCAAACCTCCCCCGGCAACTGAAAATCAGCGTCCTCCTGCATAATCAAATCAAGCCCTGTACTTCTGGCAGTTGCCGCCCTCATGGAGTCTATGGATTTTAAGGCAGAGGAACAGTTGTCTGAGTGGGGAACACCCCCGTTTGGCCCTGGGTTCAGGGGGGACCCGTTGTGCGGTTTCCCGACCCGCTACGACACTGATTAGCCCAGTGATAGCCCTTCCGACACTTGGGGCACTTCGAGGGGCGGGCGGGCGCCGTCGATGAGCGGCACTCCCGCTGAAAGTGACCCTCCTTACCACAGCGATAACAACGCTTCCCCTCCTTCCCGCTTTTCCACAGGGCGGCAGCCAGAACCCCAGCTTTATGTGCTTGTGTGCCGATGTTTTGGCACACCCGCAGCATGTCCGTCAGCTCTAGAATGCCAGCGGCTTGTGCCGCCTGGAGAGCACGGCGGCAATCCTCGTTCGCATTTTCAACCGCCGTTTTTAACAGAATCTCCTGAGCTGCCGCAGGGTTATCCACCTGTCGGAGGATAGCCTCCTGCAATCTGTTGGTAAAATCCATAAAGCACTCTGATGCACCCTGACGGATACTGGCAAAGCTTTTGGTAGGCTTGCCTGAATCCGGGACCTTCCGGAAAGCATGCTGGGTGCAGGCAGAAATAATGGGGAAGACAGCCTGCTGGAGTTGAGACTGCATCTGAACGGTAGCAAATGGGCCCTCCCCTGCTAACTGCTCATAAGTGACACCTTGCGCTATATATACCTGGGCTTGGCGTTCCGCCATCTGCCGATACTCACTAAGCCAAATAACTTACTGACTGGGCGTCAGCATCATGCGCAACAGCGCCTTCCAATCTTCAGGGACCAGGGTGTACCCAGTACCTAGCCCTTCAAGGAGACCACGTACATACGTGCTATGAGGCCGAACTCGCGAAACACTTTCTTTACCTCTCTGATCACTGAGTAAGGCAAACTGACCCAGTTTGCAAGCTGGTTGCCCTGGCCATCATCCTGCCAGGTCACCGGACAAACTGAGACCAGATCAGCTAATTCCTCTGCTGTAAGATCTGGGCGAGTCTTCGCTGCGTGAACCATTTGTTGCACCAGCGAAAGCCCCTGAGCAGACGCGGATGACCCCCCGGGGGGCCCCGGAGCATGGGGGGACGGTGGGGGGACGTCCCATGGGGAGACGGTGACCACTCACTGGCTCCAGAGGGGAAGACAAAGGAGGCGGCAGTAATTGAGGTATTGGGGGCGAAGCAGGGGGAGGGATGGCTGCAGGAGCGGACGGGAGTGGCGAGATCACCAGCCTCTCTATTGGCGTGAGGGAGGGCCTTTCCGAGGCGACACGCTGCATCGCGTCGCGGCAGAGGTGCCAGGCATGTAAAGCCTGCACGGGCGCCCAAGGCTCTTTGTGCAGTGTCTGGCCCAACCGCTCCCAGTCCGCTAGCTTAAGGGTTCTGGCTTCAAGGTACCACGGGCATTGGGCACTCACCTCCTGTAGCAGGAGAGTGAGTTCTTGAGTGGGGCAATCATGCTGAGCCTTACGCAGCAAATATTGTAGCGCATTGCGGTGTTGCACTTGCAAAGCAGAGAGGGAGTTTCCCATACTTACCACAATGAAAAATACTCACTGGGATCCGCGAAGCGGATGAGTGACGCGTCTGAAACCCTTGCCGGGCGAGGTGAGTGCTGAGGGCCCCATGTTTGGGCGCCAGTTGTTGCGGTTCAAATACAAGACAGGACAAGCTTTAAGCAAGCAAGCAGGCTGGTCTGCCGACGGGCTGCTCCGCCTGTCAGCTTTTCCACCCTCTCCTTTATTTCTCTCTCCCCCCGCGCATTACGTACTCCAACAGATAAAAGGAATACACTGGCTTTGTATAATATTCTTATTTACCAATTTCTATCTACCGCATTCCTTGCTCTCAGGCCTTGAGCCCAGTCCTGGGAGGCTTCCCACGGTTCATGTCATCTGGGCGAGATTCCAAGGTTCATGCCCTTGAGAGGAGCCGTGTGTGCACTGCTCCTACACAACACTCTGGGTGTGCCCTGAATGTTGCCAAGTGCATGAACGCTACAGTCAATATTGTTAATTATTTCATTCTTCAAGTGAGAAAAGAGGGGGAGGCACAGATCTGCAGATTTTATTCTCAGTGACATCTCATTTGGGTGCAACGCATGGGTTGTGCATGGCGGATACTACCACTTTTTTTTAACCAATCTAGAAGCCAAACCCAAGGATTATAACAGAGTCCATTGGCACATTCAAGCAACTCCATGGGAGAGCCAAGATCAAGAAGCCTAGTAGAGCCAAGCAATACACATGATCATATTTTGGTTTTCTGTACAATCTACTGTGAGCTGTATCTCATTTTGGTGAAGCTTATTTTGTGGGCAGATCCTGAAAATGTGCCACCACTTTTTCCCCCCAGTTTAAATCCTGAACAGTTTCTTCCCTGGCCTGTTCCCCTAGGAAAGGAGACCCAAAAGGCTCCTACAATTGCACAAATCCTCCTCTATGAACTCCATTTCCCATGAAGCCCAAATTCTTCCCTCACAAAACCCTTCCAATTAATCGCAAATTGCACATTGTCTCAGCGTGGGGCCAATCTCCAACTAAATCAAAATGCCTCCTTTCCTTTTGGACCCATTTTCACCACAGAGTAACCTCTGTAAGT